GATTGATGAAGCTCTAACAACCTAATCAAATTCTATCTATCTCAAGTTGCAGCAAAAATCAAGAAAAGATGATCAGGCTTCAATTGAGTCAATGGATCATGCATCAATCGATTAAAATCAATCAATATATTAATCCCAAGTCATTACAATCAAGATCCCTAACACATGGAACTAGGGTTCTTCATACCCAAGTGAGAGAGAGCTCTACTCCATAGAGAGAGAGAGAGAGAGGAAAACAGAAATCAGAGTAGTCATACTCATAAAGATGAGGATAATCTGCTTTGGGACGACGATCTTCACTCCTGTTGAGATGCATTCTAGGCTTCAATGGTGAGAAATCCACTCCAAATAGCTCCTAGGGTTTGTTCTTCGCACTTTCTCTCTCTAAAGCTATGTTTTTTGCTCAAAAACTCGATTCTCTTTCCTTTGGCTCGAATCTGCCTCAAAAACCCAATTTTGGGCGAAATACGGGCTGAATTACGGTCGTAAACATGGTCTGCTCGTATTTCACCCAAAACGCCCGTTTCACTTAACACTGATGAGAGGAATTACGGTCGTAATTACCCAATTACTGCCAGTATTTGTGGAATTACGACCGTAGTTCATTTTGCTCTTGCCCTTATTTTGATCTTTGAAGGCATTCTCAGGGATTTGGCTCGGCATTGCATTTACGGTCAGGGCAGAGGCAATTACGCCCGTAATTGGGCAGGGGATCCCCGTATTTCTTCCTCCGCTCCTGTTTAATGCTTTGTTTCTCCCTCGTCCGGACTTCGAATCAGTCGCCGTTTGATCCCAGGCGTTTGTAGTCTCGTCTTTCTTTTCATGACAAGATTCCATGATTATTTGTGCATAATATGAGATAGAAATCAATTCTTCCTCAAGTCATGCTCGTGTTTCTTCTCCCGAATTGCCAAATGATCTCCGATTGATTTGAAACTTGCGCCTATGCTTCAATTTACATAGTAGGATCTGAAATATGACAAAGGAACACAATCTACCATAAAATAGTCCAAGAAAGCAAAAATCAAGCCAAAATGATCAAGAAACGAGGGTGCAAACATGTGGAAATACGACGTTATCAACCTCTGAAACAAAAGAAGTAAAAGTCGATCCTGTGGCTACATCTTCTAAAACGGGGTAGTGTTTCCCCGTATCACACAAGGTATCATAGGTTATGACACCACCAGCCAAAATTCCACCTTTGTTGGCTCTTGAAGACTCCCCTTGATGCTTCAGAGTTCCCCTACCACCCACTGGGATTTTTCCTGTGGCATCTTTGGCTCTCCCCTTAGAGTGACCCTTCCTAGTAGGTGAATCTTCTGATCATCTTACCTAGGAACGAGTTCTCTTTGCCTGGTCATGACGAACTCTCGACCGTCCACGCGGGGGATTATCTGGGTGACTTGCAGCCGAAACAAATCTGTTGGGTATGGCATAGCTCAAGTGATGAGGCATACCATACGATACCAACAGTTCTCATAGCCACTTTTAATTATGCGTAAAAACACGTCCAAGGCCACCCACTGGGTACTCCGGAGGCACTCGACCAAGAGGATACCTCACCTCCCAAGGGCAGACATTAAAACCCAGTGGGTTAGGTGCTATATTTCGAGCCCCACTGACATCCGATCATCTTGCCACCACAACAGTGGAAGGCGGTATAATCATTAAACGTTGATTATCTCGTGATGATGAAGGTAAACTCGACATTTTTACGAAAGGTAAAATGAGAATTTACTTTAGGGATAGTGAAGCAAGAGTTTACTGTGGGTAGTGAACTACTTTTGCTTTGTGAGAAATGAAAAGATGGGAGGAGAAGTACGGGAGCAGGAAGTTGGGAAATGGAGAATGAATTATGTTCCCTCCTATCTGGTATTTATATAAACAACGCTTGAGACTGGGTCTAATACCGACTTACTGTCAGAAAATACCAGAAAATGTCGCCCTTTCTCATAAGACCATAAGTCACTCCACACAACGCAAGTCACATACATAACATAAGTCGCTTACGACTACTTCACACAACACAACTCTCTCTCTCTCTCTCTAATTTTTTTTACTCTCTCCTCCCGATCTCCCAAAATGTGTTAAATCTCTAAACACTCAACACAACCTCAATTTGGCGGACTAAGGCATGGAATCGTGGATAATCTCCACTAGGCGCATTAAATAGCCGACGACACTCAATTACGACCGTAGGACTGAACCAAGTCTAACATTATCGTATTTGTTTTATTCCATTCAGGTTACTAATTTAAGCGTCGGAGGAGGTTCCAACCAGGACTTCTCCGGTGGAACCTTTTTTTCCAAGTATTCGCACGGAGCTGGAGGCGGTTAAAGGCTTTGAGAGGGTAGTAAAAGAGAAAGAGCCACCAAATGATGATGAATATCCCAACCAGGGTAGTTGCAGACTGCGGACTATGCCATACGGAGACAATAATTTCTTAAGGCTTGTGATTTTGGTGACTTAGCTTGCTACTTCTTCCTGGAAACTGCATAAATGCTCGCTTCACAGCAACATTTCTGCTTCAATATCCATTATCCATAGTTTTGACAACAAAAGGTTAGAGCATTTTAATAAGAGTGACTTTGTTGTGATAGATGTATACATTGAATTCATGGAAAATCGTGATGTACTAATTATTCATTTGTTGTTGATGTCATGCACCTGCAAAAGTTAGAAGTATTGGACTTAATCTTCTTCCCAGTAGTAGCAGTGCTCTCGGTTCGCTGCTAGCTTCGATTGCCCATTTCCTCCCATGTTTTTTGTACAACCCCTGAAAAAGTTTATATAAAGTGTCGCAATTTATGGGTCCTATGCGATGACTATACCAATATTGATCAACCAATCGGTCACATTTTCGGATCCTCACATTTACGATCTCCTCGCAATGGAAAGAAGCTTGTTGGTCACCGTGATCCAACTGTTTAAAGTAGATTCACAAGTAGAAAGAGAGGTACCAATATGTGGAAGTAAGGAAGTTAGTTAGAGCACCCCATGATATCCAATATTTTTATCATTGGCTCTATGACAAGATCTTCATTTAATTTATACCCGTAACATTGACATGAGAATCGATCAATCTCTGTTGCACAACTAAAATGGTTCTATACAACAACAAAGGAACAAAAGATTGTTGTTAGAATAGAATTACTTCCCCGTGGTTTCATTGGGACAAGTGGACAACTACATTGGCCAAAACCATGAAAATATAATGAAAAGACTTAGGCTTAATTGCAAGTTTGGTCACTCGAATTGCTATAAAATTTCACGTTTGCCACTCAAAATGATTTATTCCATTTATAGTCACTCGAATTAGTTGAACAGTTCAAGTTCGGTCACTCTCCGTTAACCTCCGTTAACTTTGACTGACGTGGCGGTCAACTATGACAGTTGACCGTTAAATGTGTGACGTGGCAAATGAAAAATAATTAAAAAATAAAAATTAAATTTTTAGAAATTACACATCATTATCACAAAAAACTATAATTATAAAAAATGAAAAAAGAAATTCCCCACTCCGTCAACTGAATCTCAAAACTTCCCTTCCCTCCCCGACGACCCCTCAAATGGCTACCGACAGCGAGAATTCCATATCCGGATCCGGCAATTGCCATTTATCAGGCAGGGGGAGGAAGCTCAAAATGGATTCGCCGAAGCATGAGGCCATCAAAGGTGGTTCGTCGAATTCGCCGCCGCCGTATCGGTTCCATCTGCTCTGGTGGTGAGAAATGAAACGGCCAACGAAGTGGGGATCGGAAATTAGAGACTTCCATCGCTTGCAGACTGCTTTGCATTGCCAGGCGGATCTGGGTTCCGGAAGGCGAATCAGAACTTCTGCTAGGAGATCGTCACCGAGATTGCTGATCGGAGAACGAGGGTTTACTACTTCCGAGTCATCGACCCGCCGTCGTTTCCTGGACGCGCAAGGGAGAAGACCTAATCTTAGCTCCAGGATGAACACGAAGATTAGCACGCGCCGGTAAAGGAGAAAGGATGCGGTGGTAGATGAGAGGCAGAGATTTGAGGGAATTTCTTTTTTTCATTTTTTATAATTATAATTTTTTGTGATAATGATGTGTAATTTCTAAAAATTTAATTTTTAATTATTTTTTATTTGCCACGTCACACATTTAACGGTCAACTGTCAGAGTTGACCGCCACGTCAGTCAAAGTTAACGGAGGTTAACGGAGAGTGACCGAACTTGAACTGTTCAACTAATTCGAGTGACTATAAATGGAATAAATCATTTTGAGTGGCAAACGTGAAATTTTATAGCAATTCGAGTGACCAAACTTGCAATTAAGCCAAAAGACTTACTTTGATATGAAGGTGCCTTTATACTGTTCCAAGCCAACAATGGAATGCACTCTGATTGCAAGTACAAGAGAGCAAATAAAAGATTAATTGAGCACTGAGAGATTTGAGTCAAATAGAACAAAAACAAAGCGCTCATATGGTGGGTGATAATGGGTGGGAGTGGGAACAACAGCATAGACTCGATTGAGAATTGGAAACTTAGGTTTAAGAAACCCCAATTTAGAGAACCAACCCACAAGATCAAAATTACACACGATATAAATCCACAGAAGAAAGATTGTGATGATGAATCGATCAATATAAGAAACTACAGTGGATATTCGATTGATAATTGAAAACTTAGGGTTTAAATCCCGATAGAGAGAACCAACTCAATTGAATGCCTCCAAAATTCTTACCTAGTTTAGATATTAGAGGACGCTGGACGTGGATCCGATCTCCATGAATGAGAGCGATGAGATGACAATGGAGAGAAAAGAAAGGCGAGCACAGTATGAGGGTCAGTTTGGGCAAGAGGGGGAGTTCACCCGTCAGCAAAAACATTTTGCGGTGGAGTGGTACCGGTTGAGAACTAGTTGAGACTTGAGAGAGAGGACTCTCTTTCGTTTTCAATTCTCGAAATTGTTCTCTCTTCTCCTTTTTATATATTTAACTTTTAGTTATTATTTAGGGTTAATACCCTAGTTTGGCCCAAAATTTAGCGTGAGTGACAGTTATGACCTCATTTTTCAAATAAGACATTTACGGCCTACTTTTGAAATTATTGGACACATTTGGCACAAAACTTGCGTTGACTGTTAATACTAACGGGCAAACACTTATTTCGTTAGTGATTCAGCAGAAAACTGCTGATGTGTTATACATGGTGCCACATCATTAAATAGTAATTTTAATTTTGTCCCCAATTAATAATAAAAAATTAAAAACTCCTAAAATCCCCAAAGATGGATCCGCTCCACTTCCTCCTCTCTGTTTCGGTCTAAATCCACTTCATTCTTCTCGAATTCAAAAAATCGCCATGGTTCTCCATCTCCAGTCCCTCCCCTACATCATCCGGAGGCTGCGATGAGCTCCGCCGAGAACAAAATCGAAGCTCCAGACTCCAGGTGAGTAAACGGTCGATCCTCCCCTGCCACCCCGATGACGGTTCCGACCCACAAAGTCATCATCCATGATCGGATCCAGCTTCTTCACAACGATCCCTCTCTCCCCTTCGCCGCTTCCTCCACCCGCCGCCGTCGACAACAAAGAGAAACTATTCTCATCAGTTGTCGTTGATGTACCGTCCCTTGGGAACCCCGCCTATTCTAACGAAATTTCTATTTTCACGGCAGCTTCTACTGCAAACGCCGTCGCCGAACAAACCCTCGGCGTAAAAATTTGCCGCTCGCTGGTCGCAATGGCGTCACCGTCGGGGTCGATATTGACACCCCCAGTCGCCACAACCTCCAATCGGAAACATCCAAGCTACAACGCACCATCGGGATTGAAATTTTTTGCAGGATCAATATACATAGCACACAGCGGAATTGCCGGCGAGACTAAGAGCTCGAGCGAGAGAGCGCCAGCCTAATGTCGCCGGTAGATGCGCCTGCGCCCCTGGGCAAGGCGAGGAGAGCTGTAGGCATTCGTTACACCTGCCCACCCAGGATTGAAAGAATCCATATCTAATTACCGAGGGAAAAAAAGAATCCAGATCTGGTGGTGACGCACGTTCCCCTGACGAGCTTCCTTCTCGAGATTCCGTCTGATCCGCCATGGCCAGTATTGGTTCTTGCTTCGGTTGCTTCGCCGGTGGAGAGGGAGAATGGTGGTTAAGAGTCTCTTCGTACTCAGTCTGGCTGGTGGTTTAGAGCCCCGATTCTGCAACGACGGCGGCGGATGCTTCAGACTTCGGAGTCTCTTCGTTTCTGGGGGGCGATGATTCAGCCTCTGGTTGCTTACGCCAGAGGAGAGGAAGAAGGGGATGAACCAGTCGGGACGGAGGCGGCGGGAGGAAGAGATGAGGGTCGGAGGTTTGGGGATTTTGGGTTTTTATTTTTATTATTAATTGGGGGACAAAATTAAAAAATTATTATTATTTAATGACATGTCACCTTACATAAACCACATCAACAGTTTTTTGCTGAGTCACTAACGGAATAAATATTTGACCGTTAATATTAACGGTCAATATAAGTTTCGGGCCAAATCTGTCCAATAATTTCAAAAGTAGGCTGTAAATGTCTTATAAGAAAAATAGAGTCAGAACTGTCACTTATACTAAACTTCGGGCCAAACTAGGGTATTAACAAAAATAAATCCTAACCCATCAAAAACTCTCCACTCAGCCCAAATATCCTATATATCCCCACCACAAACCGCCACCACTTTCCAATCGGCCCCAATTTTCCTTTTGCGGCGTATCGCCGGCCATGCCATCTGACAACAATCAACCCTCTGCAAGCAACTATCCAGCCCTTTGTCCACCACCGCCATCTTCATATTCTCCTTCCATTACAGACACAGTGTCAACTGAACTACTATTGAATCACGAAATCCCTTTGTTAATACAACAGCTCAGTACTTCTGCTTAACAAAAAGGGTCCAAATGACGTCGGCCTACGAATTCGGTTCCGACGGAAAGAGATACACATAAAGATACCACGCCCGTATCTTGAATCTTGATAGGGATAAGACTCGATAACCAAAATTAGGTTGAGTTTTATAATTCGGTACTGCATATTACAAAACTCATGAAAGCAAGGTTAATAAAATCATGAATTGAAAAGAGCCTGATGAAAAGAAAAAAGTGAAATATTTTGTATATTGGTTTGATTGATAACATATATAATATAATGCTACTGGAACATATATAGAGGTTGAAATTTCCATTCCAAATGACACAATAAAGCTTCTTAAAAAGTTTACATATTAGTATATATCAAGCTGACGAATAGTTACTGTTGCAAATTTTTTTACATTTTAATACCCAAATTTAATTTAATTACAACTTAGTCACTATAATATATATTTTACGTCTTGATACTTCAAATTTAATTTTAATGTAATATTATTGAACAATTATATTTTTTATCTATATTTTATGAGATTTTCGTACCTACAATTTTTAAAATTTACATATTGGTCCAATTTTTAGATTTTTTGAATCCATGAATCCAATCCACCAATCCTTTTGAACCAATCCATGAATCCAATCCATAATAACATAAAAGTACCCCAAAGTTACTTAAATTACAACTTAGTCAGTATAATGTATATTTTATATTTTGATACTCCAAATTTAATTTTTTGAACAATTATGTTTTGGTATCTAAATTTATGAGATTCACCTACAATTTACATATTGATCCTATGTTTAGATTTCATTTGAATCCATGAATCCAATCCACCAATCCTTTTGAACCAATCAATGAATCCAATCCACAATAGCATAAAAGTACGCCAAATTTAATTAAATTACAACTTAGTCAGTATAATGTACATTTTACATTTTGACCAAATTTAATTTTTGAACAATTATGTTCTGGTATCTAAATTTATGAGATTCACCTATAAAATCTTAAATTTACATATTGGTCCTATGTTTAGATTTCATTTGAATCCATGAATTCAATCCACCAATCCTTTTGAGCATTTTATATTTGCTCATTATGTGAAACATTAAATAAATTATAAAAGCTAAGAGAAACGACTCTAAAATATTGCAAGAGCGAATTTATAAACTCATTTTTTACATTTATGAGAGTACTAAACAAACTTTTACTAACTACATGTAACAAGATATGCGACATCTATGTACATAAGCAAGTGTCAATAAATTGCTACGGTGAAAAGGGTTGATTGTTGTACTAACGGCAAACTAAAAGAATTGGTCAAAACCTTTCCATCATCTACTTCATTTTTGTTTCGTTTTCACTTGCCTTCCATAACCCCTTTTTTTATTTCTTTCTTTGTATTATTCGTCTAACCCTAATTAGTATCTTATTTTTATGTATTCTAATCACAAGTATTAACGGTTCCATACAAAACTCACCAACAGTCTAGAGAACTAATAATTGAACCATTAACCACTAACTTTTTCAGCTTAATGTCGAGTGCAATTGAAAATAAATATGTTTGGTTATTACTTATTAGAAATTCATCATTTTCACTATGGGATTTGAAGGCTTGAAATTTTAAGCGAGTTCCAGTTTAATTTGTATTCCTTTTGCTTCTCTCTAGAATATTTCTTTTTCACTCAGACTAGAGTGTTTATAATACATGAAATGTTAGGCTAAGTATCTACACATATCAACTAAATAGTTTTCATTTTCTATAAAAAAGTAAATAATTATCATCTTAAATGCATCAGCATAAAAGGAATTAAGGCTCAACTATGCAAATTACAGTTATGTACATAAACTTAATAGATCTTTAGATTTATAACCTAATTTTTTTTGCATAAGTCCTCAAAATATTAATGGAACATTACATTTTAGTACCTAATTATTTTGTGTATTACATTTTGCGACCTAAACTTTTGAAGTTCTACAAAAGGTCTTATTTTTGTCTATATATATAGCTAAAACACCCTCGAATAAATGGGTATGGATACTCAAATCATACACATTTAGATTACGGAAGTATATATCCATACCCTACCCAAACTCTTGTACGAACTTCCAAACCCATATATACGTCACCCATACCCTACCCATAGTGAATGGGTCTACTTGGGTATAGATAAATATCATTTATTAGCCAAAATTTCCAAAAAAATAAAAAAATTTGGATGTTGACCGCCATATATATCTTCTCAGTCAATATCATATTGTAAAGTCAATAATACTAACTAAATTGTTAACAAAAAATTAATAATAATACAAACAAAATACCATAACAGGCCACATAATACATGCACATAGGCCATCTCCATTCTCCGCTACGCGACAAGACGCGACATCACCACCTAGTATTAAGATAAAACAATTGTTCCTTCTTTTAACTCCAACTACATATATCGTAGGATAACTCTCGAGATGGTAATTGAAACATAATTCATGAGTACCGTATCATACCCGGATAAAGTGGATAAAATTTAGTGCTGATGAATTTTGGGTCGGTAGTAAGTTTTACCCACTTTTAAACTTAGCGAGTTGAATTTGAGTTTTAGAGAAATCAGACCAATTCTCATTGCTTATTTCACTTCATCCGATCTCGGCTGAGGCTATGCCGCCACCGACCGTTCTGACACGCCCTGACTTCTCACACATTACATGGTACAAAACCAAAAAGAACATTAGCTGCCCAAATGGCAGGGTTCATGCTAATGACTTATTTCACCATTACAATGACTAGCAATTATATTTGCTTCTAATACTAAAATTTATTCAATTCCTTCTTATTTAAACAAAAATATTTGCCAAAACTTTCACGTTTGTGCCAATAATAGCCACATTTGGCAAAATACCATTTATAGCCACCTTTTGAAAATGTTGTTGGACAAATATAGCCTTTTCCGTTAGAAACATTGACGGCGTTACTAACATCGTCAAATAAGTAGATGGTTTGCTGATTAGGCGAGAAGAACTCGAACACGTCAGCGCCAACTAAGCAAGTCTTGACACGTCATATACTCCTTTATTAAAAATAAAAACTTATATATTACATTATTAAAAAAAAATTCTTACTATATATTCCATTTCCATCGAAACGAGTCCTTCAGCCCCTATTTTTGCCCGATACAAAAATTAGGGTTCCTCTCTCAAACTTCAAATTTCGACTCTTCTCCCCGAATCCTCAACTTTCCACTCTCCCCGATTCCTATACTAATCGATTCCTATTTTGGAATTAGGGTTCTTCCCCCAAATTCCACTCTCCACGAATCCTCTACTCCCTTCTGATTGAATCCTCACTCCCTTCCGCGATTCCGATTCCGATCGATTCTGTTCCGACTCGCAACGACGACGGTTGCGACGGAACCCTCTCCTTCTCCTTCCGCGATTTCTCCTGCCAGCACTTCAAGCGAGCTGCAGGCATGTCCAGGCGAATAGCTTCCTCAAGTTCGACTAGCACTCAGAAACTAGGCGTGGTACTCTGTTGGTGCAATAAGCATTGTGTGGTCAAGACATCCGCCACAGAGTTGAATCCAGGCAGGCAGTTCTATGGGTGTCCTTTTTGGAAGGTAAGGTGGCGTAGACATGATTTATGCATTTTTGTGGTACTTGTGTGTGAGCTTGAGTCGCAAGTTGATTGTTGTAATGGTGCAGGACGAGACCAAGAATTGTCGCTTTTTTAGGTGGGTGCGACAGAATGCTGATGAAGATAAGCAAGCAAACTCTGAAAGTAGTTGTTCGATTCTGAAGCTCGAAGACAGTTTGCGTACAACACAGTGTAAGGCTGAGAGGAGGAAGAAAGAGATGAAAATTCTGTCCGATGAGTTATCTAGATGGATGAAAGCACATGAGATTATGGTTGCTGAAGGGAGGAGGGTTGATCATGATATTCATGTAATTCGATATCAGATCACTGTTATTGTCGTACTCAATTTGATAATGGTTGTTCTTCTATGGCACCACTTTCTGATGTAGAAAGTTTTGTAATTTGACAAGGTTGTTTCGTATGTGTAAGAACCTGTTGGTAAGTAACATTTATGATCAATGTTGTTTGGTAAGACACAATCTTCATTCCGAACTAACAGTGTTCATATTACATACCCCCATTATAGAACATAGTAACCATAATCCAAAGTGTTCACAATCTGACCTAAAAAGAACATAATCATAAGTGTTCACAATCTGACCTAAAAGAACATACTTGGCCCTAACATACACTTGGCCCTAACATACAAGGCCATTGCATGAGGGAACTTCTCAAAAGGCAAAATACAGTTCCACCTCTAACTGATATAGCAAAATGAATACCCTAGCCTTTAGATACAAGGCCATCCCACGTCTAAGGTTGTGTTGGTGATGGTTGGCTTCCACGCAGCTGGACCTCATCGTGTTGAGTGCCTCCAAGAGCACGTCCCCTCGAGCCATTCAGCTGCATATCAGAAGAGAAATTCATTAGACAGTTTGCAATATAATGGACCAAGCTTGTACATCAAATTGGTACACACGAATGCTTACTATGACGTATTGATTCCCTGTTTCCTCAGATACATAAACTCCAACTCC